GTTGGGTCGCAGGTCGATGGGTTGTCGGGAGCGGCTGCGGGAGGGTGTGGGGCTGTAAGAGTAGGTGGAGGTTGAGGGCGAGCGGAGTCGCCGGGTGGTGCTGTGGTGTTTGGAATGGCGGTGATGCCGATGCCGGCGGTGATGGCGGTGGCGGCCACTGCGGTGATGATCAGGGGGCTGGTGCTGTGTGCCGGTTGCGGAAGTGGTGGTTGAGCTTGTGATGAGTCGCCGATGGCCAAAGGAGGTGGCGGTGGAGGCAAAGGTTGAGGTGAAGGTTGTGTGACTGGGGGAAAGGCTGAGTAGATGATGAGCGATTGTTGCCTGTTGTGGTGCTGGAGGTGACTGGATCGGTGTGGTGTTGGTAGGATCGGTAGGTGGTGTGTGATGCAATTGTTGTACCAGGTAAGAAGGAGAAGGTGCTGGTGATGGAAAAGCTGGGGGTGGGTGTGTGGGTTGTGGTGGCGGCTGAGATGGTTGCACAATTGTCCAGGCCGAGGGAGTGCCATAGGACAGCGTGGTAGGAGTTGGAATAGGCATGGTAGGTGGAGCCTGATAGGGTTGTGGTTGTGGAAAAGGATATGCTGAGGGATGCGGTGACGGAAAAGTGGGTGCGGTATGTGGCTGCGGCAGCGGCAATGTCGGCTGTGGTTGCGTAATGGGTAGTGGTGGTGTGGGAAAATGGCCAGGGAAAATGCATGGTGTAGTCGAAGGTAGTGGTTGTGAAGGTTCAGCGCTGTGTAGTGGTGGCTTTTCAATGGCACGGCGCAGCACAGCAGCAATAGCGCGGCTGAGATTGCAAAAAATGTTGTCTGTCATGGTGATTGCAAAAAAATGTTGTCTGTCATGGTGATGTTGAAAGTCGCCTTGCTCTTGTTGAAAGGAAGTATGCTGTGAAGGTGAGCTTGATGTGACAGGTAAAATTGTTGCAAGTTGTGGTCATGCATCTCGAATTAGATTTGAGAACTCCAGTATGCAGGCTTGAGTTCTTCTGACGGAAAGGTCGCGGCACAGGTCAAGATCATGCAAAAACCTTTTGCAAGACTGGTCAGAAAATCAGTGAGTCAGTGAGAGAAGAAGCTGCCGTGTTTGGGCCCGGCGGCCAGTGCAGCAGTTGATTCGATGGGTGTGTCAATGACTTCCGGTGGAAATCCGGTGAGAGGTGGCATGTTGGGGTGGATGATTTCCTATGCAGAAACGGCGCCCCTGTGACGGGGATCACACTCAGCACCCGAGTGGGACGGCTGAGCGAAACACACTCTGACATTGGTTTTCAGTGACTCACCACGTTGGGAAGGAAGGTGACAGAACCGCATGGTGAAAAGTCCGAAAACTTGTAGGTGTTTCAAAACATTGTTGTTCAAGTCTGCAGAGACGATCGGTCACTCGGTCGGCGCGGCGCAAGGCTGCAGTCAGCTGTGGAAAAGACCTGTTTGTGGGGAAAGTAACATGAAGGACCATGAATCAAAAAGTGGAAAAGTGGAGTAACAGCTTGTGAAAGAACGAGCAGGTACGTCGGCCAGCGTCCTGGCCGATATCCTCAGGACACTGCAGAGAGCTTTGTTAAGTGGAGCTCTGCAGGCCTGCTCCACTCCCCTGCTTGGGAATCGGTGTTGAAACAATCGGTAGGTGAATCTGTTGGAAGAAACCCTTGGTCCAGGGGTGGACACACACACACACGTAGGATCATGTTGTAGGATCGGATGGGAAGAGCGAAAGCATCCAAGTGCGAAGTATGCCAGTGTCAAAGTATGCAAGTGTATAAGTATGCAAGCATGATATGCAAGCGTGAGTATGCAAGCATGCAATGATTATGCAAGCATGCAACAAGCATGCAATGAGTAGGCAAGTGTGAGTATGGAAAACTAGCACGGGAGATGTCCTAATGAAAAAACATGTCCCCACTTTATAAATTCTCTCTTAAAGGCGGAGGGCGGGACGAACAGCGTCAACCGAAAGTGCAACCCTCTGCGGAGATCGTGCGTGTCGAGTGCGCGAAATGCAGGCGAGAGTGCGATTTG